CCTCTGCATAGCTTTCTCAACAGTGAAGAATTCATAGGGCGTTGACATTGAATGTACATAAGGGCCTTTCCCATTCATCAGAATAGCATCAGGGGTGACACCATATGTACTCACCTCTGTTCCCAACAATGTCCTGAAACACTGTTACAATAACATAGCCAAAAGAAATTTTGAATTTTAAAATGAAGGAAGAAAAAGGATAATTTCCAACAGAAAAGGTTACATTCATGAAATATATATATATATATATATATATATTCATAAATAGGATAATAAACTAATAACTCACCCTATAGTCAGCAGCATACCAATCACCAATCAGAAGATCAAATTCAGCTTCTGGTTTGAGGAAAGGGACAGCTATAACATTTCTATTATTAACTCGGATTGGTCCATATCCACCAGAAGCTTTCTGGAAGTTGATGAAAGGGAAGTTGATGAAAAGTTGATCAAATGTTGGATTGCTTGGCTGGTAAGGAATTCTATTGCTTTTTAGATGGTTACTCGGATTACAACCAGATTGCTATTGCCCCTAATGACCAAGAGAATACTACTTTTACTTGTCCTTATGGAACTTTTGCCTTTAAGAGAATGCCTTTTGGTTTATGCAATGCTCCAGCAACTTTTCAAAGATGCATCATGTCTCTTTTTTCTGATATGATTGAAAAATGTCTTGGAGTGTTTATAGATGATTTTTTTGTATTTGGCAATAATTTTGATGATTGTCTTTTGAACCTTGATAGGGTTCTTCAACGGTGTGAAGAGACTAACTTAGTGCTGAATTGGGAGAAATGTCATTTCATGGTTCAAGAAGGCATTGTGTTGGGGCACAAGGTTTCAAGCAGAGGCTTGGAGGTGAACAAGGCCAAAATTGAGACAATTGAGAGACTGCCACCACCAACTTCAGTGAAAGGTATTCGAAGCTTTTTGGGTCATGCCGGTTTTTGTAGGAGGTTCATTAAAGATTTCTCAAAAATTTTCAAGCCTTTGTGCAACTTACTAGAGAAAGATGTTCCATTTAAATTTGATGATGCATGTCATGCTGCATTTGTAGAATTGAAGAAGAAATTGGTATCTGTTCCTATCATTGTAGTTCCTAATTGGAATCTTCCTTTTGAGTTGATGTGTGATGCAAGTGACTATGCTGTGGGGGCAGTAATAGGCCAAAGAAAATCCAAAATTTTTCATTCTACTTATTATACAAGCAAAACATTAATTGAAACTCAAATGCACTACACCACCACTAAAAAAGAATTGTTAGCTGTAGTATTTGCATTTGATAAGTTCCGTTCTTACTTGGTTGGCACTAAGGTCATTGTATACACTGATCATTTTGCGATTAAGTATTTGATTGCCAAAAAAGATACCAAACCAAGGTTGATTAGGTGG